CAGCCACTTCCCACTCATGTGGGCAGCCTGTGTGCTCTGGTTGGTAGGAGCCCCATGGGCTGCTCTTGGAGAGGACACCTTGCAAGTTCTATGTAGAAGTCTCTGGCCCCAGAACATGCAAACATCAGTCTAAAGTGTATTCTTAAAGGTTCTCTAACTGTTCCTGCCTTGCCTACAGGAGAATGGGGGCTCAGGTGACCCATTTCCAATGGTCTTGCTCTAGCTTTTTGTGTCAAGAGCTCCTGGGTTAGTCTATCCCCTCACTGGCCTCAATTCCTTATCTGTTTTCTTAAATTCCAGATTTGTCTGTTTGACATCCATCAATCAATCACAGGTCTAAGCAAACAGCCAAAGTTACTTACGTCATCCCTAAGATCCAGCCTTAGAATGGGTATATACCACCTTCCAAATCCTGTAGCTCAGGTGAGCCCAAATCTCCACCCATCTCTACTCCAAGCTAGCATCTCCCCTGCCCTAAATCACCTCAAGGCCAGGAGTAGCAATCAGAGAGCATTCTGCAGTCCAGAAGAGTCAGAATTACCCTGGTGCTTTCAGGCCCCTCCTAGCCTTTGCCCAGTAGGGCACATTGTCAGGGTTCTGCCCTTGCTTCTGCCTAGTGACTGAGCCTGGTACTTCCCACATGCTGTGGTGGCCCCCTCTGAGACTATGAGTCTCTTCCCATGGAATCAGCATCTCCATCCTGTCTCTCAGTCATCAACATAACTTAAGGCAGAGGGACAAACTGCTAGCCCCTGTCAGTATAGTCAGGAAAGATTAACTAAGATAACAAGAACGCAAAGGTCCCAGCAGGGGCAAGATGGACTGGCTTTTCCTAACTGTGCAGCAGTTAAGAAGCCCGGGTGTTTTGGAGCTAAGTTGCAGCCATGAATTATGCAATCAGGCCTTCCATGTTGAGGAATCCCGTAGCTCCCGGCCTTATTTTATAGACAGCAGACTGAGGTTTAGGGAGAAAGGGACCAGTCCCGAGTTTCACAGCAAGTTTGCAATGGGGTGGGGTAGAAAGCCAGGTATGCTGGGCTCTGTGTAGAGCTCCACCTGACATGGTGATGGGAGCAGATGGGAGCAGGATGGGAGTAGGATAGAACTACATCCCAGAGCGAGAGGGTTCTGACAGCACCCACATCTGGAAGGAACATTGACTACATGTCCACGGGGAGCTGCTTCTTTAGAGACTTATGTCCCCTGCAGAGCTACAGCCTTTCAAAACAGCGTCCAAGTGTAGGCCCTACCTCAGGCTTCCTATGGAGGGAGAGCCCTTGACCTGACACCGTAGGGTGCAGTGACAGTTCCGAGAACTGTTCTCCTGGACTGGGTAGCCTACCTCAATGAGGTAATCATTGGGATCACAGGTGACAAAGGGCCTCTTGAAGAGCAGGGATAGGCCATCTGAAGTCCTCTGCACCTGGAGCAGCTGGCAGTCCTGCTGGGCATCTAGATGGATCTGCCCCTTCTGGTCACTCCAGGCATCCTGCAGAGACAGGCTCAGGGTCCGAGCGGGAAGGAGCACAAGCATGGTAGACAGAATGTAGTTGCCCTTCTTCAGTCGGGATCACAGCTGCTACTCTTAGTGAGTCACCAGCTCCCTGGGAACACCCAGTGGGGCTAGGGAGCTGCTCAATCTCACTCCTATTGGATCTCACCTGTCTCATTCTTTTTCAGTACTGGGGATCAAACCCAGGGCTGGGCGTATGTGTGCAAGATGATCAGTCCACCCTTGACCCAGGTCTCCTAGCCCCCATATCACCCATGCCACCCATCCTGCCTGAAGGTGCAGCCCGATCCAGCTTCCTTCCAGCCTGTCACACATGTGCCAGGTGCCTGAGAATCCCAGGGACAGCCAGATGACTGGTTCTCAGGCCTTAGAGTGAGATGTGGAGAACTGCACTGCACTGTTAAGGTGGTCAAGGCTTCTCACGGGAGTGCACACCAGGATTAGAGATTTGAGATCAGAGCCTTGGACCCAGACTGATGATGATGATGCAGCCAGAGTGGAAGGAGCAGGCCAGCATTTAATGTGGCATTCACTCCCAGGTACCAACTCCATACTTGCATAACATTGAGAGCAAAAGCTGCCTTAAATACTGTACCCTAGGCATCTCTTACTCCACTCTAGTGCCAGCCTTGCCTGGAGGAGTAAACTGAAGCCTGGTCTGGAGAGGCTGTCCTAGCCACACTGGCAGCTGGACTGAGTATTTCCCTAGGACATTTCCTAGAGTCTAGATCACTGACTGGCCCAGTCTCCCTGCCTTCGCCTGTAGGACTCCAGGCCAGTGCAAGGAAGGCAGGTTGTGGGATGGCACCCAGTGAGTTCATGAACACCCTGGGCCTCTGCTGTGAAGATTGTTTGGGCTGTTTTTGTTGAGTCCTACCTCTGGGGCTATCATCACAGCTTAAGGAAAGTGAAGGCAAGGAGTCTGCAAAAATTTTCCCTGAGGATAACAGTGTGTTGAAACTCCTGCTGGGGACCCTGCTGACTTGCAGCAGGACCAGACAGGCAGCTGACATTGCTGCTGAGAATCTAGAGTGTGCTACCAAGCATACTGCTGCCCAAGAACCCCAGTTTCAACATTTGGGTTCACAGGTATTTGTTGTGCAAATGAACCTGGCAGGGGTGGAAAAGTGAAACACTAGGCTCCCGTGGCTGTGGGAACTGCAGCATGGAAAAGCTCCCTGGGAACGGGGAAAGGAGCCACAAACCCTCTGGGAGCCAGTGAGGCTCTTCTGTCCTCCACACATCTCAGACAGGGCTGTGGCTCCAGACAGGTCTGAGCAGATGACTCTGGCCTCACTATGAAACAGGTAGAGTGTCTGCTCTGAGCAGGTTAAGAAGGCATTTCTTAGTCAGGTGCAGTGATTCACACCTGTAATCCCAACACTGGGGAAGCTGAGGTAGAAGGATTAACACAAATTTGAGGCAGCCTGGTATGAAGAAGGTATGTCCTGATTTGATAAGGAAAAATCTCTGACAATCCTTTCCCTGTGGGTGTAGAGAGGTAATACTCCATCCCCAAAGAGGCCATGATGGTGAGCCCCCTCTGCAGAGGAAGGGGGAGCAGGGCCCCAGAGGGTGTGGTGGGGGCTCTCCCCCTCTGCTGACCCCTGTAGCTTGTTTGGGGGCCCGAAGGCTGCTCCAGTATATAGGAGACTTCCTTTGCCACTCTGGCAGGCAGTCATTCAGGTAGATTTTGAATAGAGGGAACCAAATGTATCCTCTTGGCCTAGGTTGAGCTTGGGTGGTGAGGGTGGGGCTTTCCCACACCTGAGTTGTGGTTTATCTGCATCTCTGTTTACCACCATTGAGTATAATACAGAAGGCCTGTGTGTGCTGTGTCTTAGGCTGGAGTGTATTCTGCCTGCTCTACTAAGCCACATGCCACCACCTGGCCCACAACAGGTGTGCATGTACTGGCAGCGTGGAATGGAATTGTTATTTGTAAAACTGGTGGATATGGAGGGTCTGTACTCACGTGGCATGGGGTGCTTCCTGGCATGTGTTCCTCCATATGTGCTTAACCTTCTTGGGATTGCTGCATCCATTACTTGGAGGTGCAGTTAACAGGACTGCAGGAAGAACCCGCTTACCATTTCATCATTTAGTGAGTCTGCCTCTGATGCTGACAGGGTACACAGTCTTAATTCAGATCAGTGACATCAAACCCAGAAGTTATAGGCAAGCTTCCGTTGTTTATCATGGAGCATGGCTGTATGAAGGTAGCCAGATAGGGGGTGTGCCTCTGATGCTGACACAGTCTTAATTCAGATCAGTGACATCAAACACAGAAGCAATAGGCAAGCTCCCGTTGTTTATCATGGAGCATGGCTGTATGAAGGTAGCCAGATAGGGGGTATGGGCACGAGAGCAGGATAGCAAGGTGGGAGAAGACTCACCGCAAAGTAGGATCTGTTCCCATCAGTCCAGAGCATGATGAGGTCGGCGTTCTCCAGCTCACCTCGATCTGACATTCCAAATAGAACCCCAGCCCTCAGCCCTTGCACCTTGAGCTGGAAGTGGATGACCTCCTGGACATAGCTGATGTTCCATGAGAGCTCCAGGATTCCATCGGGGTCCAGGAGAATGTGGTAGGGGAAGGGGCTCTCTGGAGGCTCTGAGCTCTGCAGTGCAGCCACCAGGATGACCAAGAAGATGGCCACAGCAGTACTATACATGGAAGCCGCCTCACGAACACTGGGGCTGGGGAGACTGTTCCAGCAATGCTGGGGGGTGAGGTGAGCCTGCATGGCTGGGATGAGCACACCAGCCTCACTGGGGCATTTATGCATGTCCAGTGGGGGTGGGCCAGGCTGCTCCTAATCACATTTGTCTGATGGGGAATTCAATTGTCCTGGTGGCCCTCCCACCAGCCGTGCCCTGGGGCAAACACTTTGCTCCCATCCTCCCCTAATTGGCCCTAATGACACAGGGACATCGTCAGGAGAATCAAAGCAGAATGGCTGATGTCCAACACGGCTCTGATGCTTGCTGGAAGCAGCTACTCTGCGGCCATAGGTCCTGAGGACCCCTTTAGTCAGACCCCAGTGACTGCCTCATAGGCAGCCAGGTACCACACCCTCTGCACATGATCCAACTGAGACCCGAGGGGCTCTGTTCCAGGTGACAGAGTGGTGGGCTCCTGGCTCCTGTTTTTACAATACTGGAGGGTGGACAAATTTCAAACTAAAAATAAAAGACAGTCCCCAAATAGTCCGTGTTTAGACACTCTCTCCAAGGCCTGCTGTTCCCACTTTTTCTCCTGTTTCCCCACGGGCTCCAGCTGGCGCCATGGCTGCTGCAGAAGGAGTGGGTGCAGAGCTGGGGTACAGATTGCCGTGGGGCATCACTGGAGAAGACAGCACAGAGCAAACAGAGAGTGAGGTGAATGGGGAAATAGGCACTCGGCGAGGTGCATGGCTGTAGGCACAGTCCTTAGAGAAGAAGAGGGTGGGGACATGCCTGTTTCTCTCTCTCCAAAGCTCTCAAAGCCAGGACTGCCTCTTGCCGCTCAGGCCATCTGGCCCTAGCCCTATTTCTCCTATACTTACCACAGGGCCTCTGCACCTGTTTGACCACCAATCTGAAGTGTCTACCTTCCCATTGCTCAGTCCTGTCCCTTTCTTGATGAGAAGTAATTGGACCTGTACTGCTGTCCTCGTCCACCCCAATCTCTGCTGTCTCCATCTACCCTGAAATTCTACCTTCCCTTCCACTTGCATCCAAAGCCACCCATCTCTGTATCTATGATTGTAGTTCCTCCAACTGAGCTGTGAGTCCTTCCCTCCTTTCTTCTCTCTGCTTTTTCTCCTGTTTTCTGAGAAACACAGAGACCTGAGCCTCTGGCATCAAGGCCTACTATGATTGTAGTCCCTCCAACTGAGCTGTGAGTCCTTCCCTCCTTTCTTCTCTCTGCTTTTCCTCCTGTTTTCTGAGAAACACAGAGACCTGAGCCTCTGGCATCAAGGCCTATTCTGTGCTGAACTCTGTCCCACAGAGGGAAAGGGACCTCAGTCCTGTACACAGATGAAATTTCCAGATAGTCCCATCCTTGCCCTGGGATTCTAAGAGGCAGAAGGTCCAGGGCTAGTTAGTAGGCACATTGTTCTGCCAGGACAAGAGTCACAGGCTCTGAGGTGGGGGTGTGCTTAGCTCAGCCACAGCCTGGTTTTCAGTGAGCCCTTGGGGTCACCTGGGACAGTGAGGCTTCAGGTCCTCCCAGGGCTCAGTCTCTGAAGAAGGGCAGAAGTGCTGGCAGGAACCTGACTGCAGCAAATTGAGTTCCTTTCCTGGATCCAGGGTGAGAGCAACAGTTGCGCTCGGTGCTCAGAGGAGGAGAAGCACGGTTCTTAGTAAACAGCAGAGTGCCACACACACGTTTATTTTTAACAGATCCAGAAAGCGATCCCGTTCTGCAGCTTGGAACAAGGCTGGAACGCTGGCAGAAGTGATTCAGCCAACTTCACAAGCAACAATTACCCAGTCCGGGTAGTTAGCAGGAGAGGGAAGCGGGCCTGCCTGCTCTGCTGGCTTTGAGAAACCGGCCTGCTGTTGTCCCTATCTGACACACAAGGGGATAAAGCCACAGAGAGGGGAAGATGGGTACGGTCACACAGCCTTCAAGGGCGGGACAGAGCAGGGTAAGACAGCATTAAGGGATCCCCAAATGGGTTTTCTTAGCAGAAAAAGGGGTCGGGTGTGCCCTGACAATCAAGGTCAGGGTGATCCCACAGGAGTCATGAGGATGTGCTGACCAGAATGCAGAGCCAGCAGGGCCCACGGGTATCATAGCCAGCCTCCTCTTCACTTGGTTATTTGTTTGTTCGTTTATTTTTGAGACAGGTTCTCACTATGTAGACCAGGCTTGACTTGAACTCACAGAGATCTGTCTGCTTTGCCTTTGCCTCCTGTGTGCTAGAATTAAAAGCATGTGTCACCATACCCAGGCCTGGCTTTTTAGATGGGTGCTGGGGAATTGAACTCAGGTCCTCATGCCTGTGAGGCAATCATTTTCCTGACTGAGCCATCTCCCCAGCCCTTAAATTTCAATGTTAGTTGTTTTTAGTGTTATTTATCATTATTATCATTATTTGCCCTCCCCCTTATTAATCTCGAAAAGGGGTGAGTTGACCCTGGAGAGGGAACAATGTTCAGCCTATAAACTTGGTGCTCTCAACACCCATAAACGCTGAGCTGGCTGGACATACTTCCTCGTTGTGTTTGGGAGGTCCAGGTATGGGGGGTGTCCTTCTCTCCTGCTCTTGCCTGCACCCCCACCCTGCTGACTCTGACTGTGTCAGCTGCTCTCCCAGGGTGGGGGTAGGCTGGGGGTGGCACCCAGGACGTCACTGTCATCCTGTCAGGAAATAGGCTGCGTGTTCTGCTCAGTGCCTGGCTCCACTCCAAGGCTCATCGACGATGGCTGACCTCATTTAGAACCAATTTCAGCGTTTTAATAAGCCCCTTGCCTTTCCGAATTTCTCTGATGCTGGAGGCCTTCAGGAGCTGTAATCCCCCATTGGCTCTGCCACGTGAGCCAGCTGCGGCTACCTCCTGACCGTGGGCGGTGACAACCAGCAGTACGGCTACTGGAGTGGGGGCATGGAAGCTGATCCAGACTAGTCAGGGCAAGCAGCTCCACAGCAGCAACAGGGGCCACAGGACTGCACACCCCCAGCCTGAAGCTGAGTCCCTAGGGACTTCCTTGTGGCAGATAAACACTCAGGGTCTCCCTTGGAGAGGTGGCTTCTGTCTCTTCAACCAAGCACAGTGGCTGTAATTGAAGGTGGAAGGGGCATGTTCTCCCAGGATGAGCCCATGGGACATCTGAGGCAACCAGAACAGTGGCCACAAAAGGATCGGCAGGATGGATACCATAGGAGCCCATCCCAGCAGTACTGGAACCCAGGGCAGGATCCAGGAGCATCCAGCTCCCCACAGGGCCACGAGTAGACATCTGTGAGCAAGGAACTGTGTGTGTGATGCCCAGCAACCCCGTGTAAATCTGAGCAGCCCACCATGAGCAAGTCTTCAGGAGTGAGTGACCTGGACCCTTGATGTCCCCTTCATGCTCTGTCTCTTCTGAGTGTACTGGGTGAAGAGGGAGGCAGCCCCCCCAGACACACACACACTTACACACTCACTCCCTTATACTCACACACTTTCACACACACACACTCACAAACATACACTCATACACATTCATATTCTCTCTCTCTCTCTCTCTCTCTCTCTCTCTCTCTCTCTCTGTGTGTGTGTGTGTGTGTGTGTGTGTATTGCTGACAAACTGCTCTGCCTCTTAGTGAGGCTGCATAGCACATGGTACTCAACAGCTTAGTTGTCTCAGAGATCACCATCTCTTCAGGAATCTTTCACCCACTGCTGACCCAAATCTGCCAATCTAAAGAGGTGAAGCCTGTCTGCCAAAGGTTCCCTTGTTGCAACTGTACTGCCTCATACCACAGGAGCTAGATGACCAGGGTTCCAAGCCCAAGAGGGTACCAGAGAGACATGTGATTGGCAGTCCTACCTGCAGGGTGCTCCCTCGTCCCCAGGGTGTGATGGGATTGACATGGTGCAGAGGGATCCTGTAGGTGCATACATATGGGCATGTATGTTTATACATCTGTGCATGAGTCGGGTGCATACAAATGGCTATGTGGAAGCCAGGGAACAACTTCAGATACTCTTCTTCAGGTGCCAGACACCAGTGTGTGTGTGTGTGTGTGTGTGTGTGTGTGTGTGTGTGAGACAGGGTCTCTCACTGGATTGGAGTCACCAAGCAGGCTACACTGGCTGGTAAGTGAACCCTAGGGGATCCCACTTTTTTCTGTTTGAATCCCAGCACTGGGGGTACAAGCCACCATGTCACGTGACAGTGGGTCCTGGGGATTGAAGATATGTCCTTGAAAAGACTTTATGCAGAAAAGACTTTACCAACCATGCCATCCTCCAGACTCAGTGAAAGATGGTCCTAGGTTATCCCAATGAACCCAGAAGAGCCAGGGTGGCTCTGGAATAAGGTAACAGGAGGCTCGAATCAGAGTGGATATGACAATAGCAGTGAGGTCCGGGGAAGAGTCGTCACAGGCTTGATGCTGTGGCAACCTTCGGATGAAGAAGAGGCAGGAATGGACTCTCTTCAGGCTCAGGAGGAGCCTGCCTTGCATGTTTGAGGGCTCACTGCAGCAGCCAGAGGGTTCTTGTGTAATCCAGCCTGGCCCCAGGGTTCCTCTTCCAACTCATTCAGCTAGTTCAGCACTGCAGCTTCTGATCAGGCTAGAAATGGGCAATGGATAAGGATTACTATGGAAGATAGTTACATGGAAGACAACCCCAGGGTGCACAGAAAGAAGCAAGCAGATGAGTCGGCAGTATATAGTGAGCAGTTTCCCAAGGGCAACTGGATGGCTATGGAAGATAGTTACATGGAAGACAACCCCAGGGTGCACAGAGAGAAGCAACCAGATGAGTCGGCAGTATATAGTGAGCAGTTTCCCAAGGGCAACTGGATGAGACTGGAGCTTGTCCCAAACCATCACAGAGATGACAAAGAGCCAGTCTTTACCTCCCTCTTGTCACCATTACCAGTGAAGGAAGCTACCAGGCATTGGTGCTCAGAGGTGGGTCAAGCCTGTCCACAGGCTAGTCTGGGGAGTGGGATTGGGCAGAGATCACAGGGAACTATGGGTACCAGGGATGACCCTGGAGCAGACCCATGAGAGAGAAATGGGTGAGGATGCCCTAGGCA